CTTTTGAGAGCAGCTAGTGCTTCTAAATGATGACACTCATTCTTACCATGTGTTAGTAGAGAAGGTGGCATACAGAATGAGCTGGACTTGTCTATGGAGCACATTCAGGCTGACATCCTGGCCTGAAATTATTTTCCACTAGTCAATGTTAGAAAATAACACCTCATTTCCTCTTTTTAAAAACGTACTGCTTCTGTTTGAAAAGAGAATTACAAGTGGCCAATAGATATATGAACACATACTGCCCTTATATGTATTCAAAGGAATCTAAAATGATGTCTTATAGACAATGGATCAAGTTCTCTTTCCACAGAGACTAGGAGACCAGACTCATTATCTTTGGCCGTGAATGGTGGGGGGGGGGAAGATTTTAGGAAAATAATGAGTTCAGGTTAATATACTGGTCTTACAGAGTGAAAACTGCATCCAGCTTGAGGCAATGAAAGACTGTAGCATTCTTAAAGAGCTGTCGTACCCCAGAATGGTGACACTCTCCTCAAAAAATACTCTCATCCCTGGTTGAGCTGAGGAAAGTATGCTGATATCACAAGCCTAGAACTGAACAAAAGCCTCAAACCATGCCTACCATTTCACCCACATCTAAAAGAGTAGCTTTAGAAAATGATTATGAATATGCCACATATTTATCCTCAATGACAGCTGCCATTTCATCACCTATAAAATTGTATAACAACAAACGAAAATCCCAGCAAACAGAAAAACTATGAACAGCAATGAGGGGTTTGACAACACGCTGAGAAATGCGAAATGCCTTCATACAAGAGGCCGAGCCGGCTTCGAATGCAGAAAAAAAAATCAATACGGAATGAGAAGAAGTGGGAGGAATGAGGAGTAGGGGTCAATACAACTCCATTTCACATTCCGCTCCCGCACACCCACACACACAGTCATCCCAGACTCAGCAGCCTTTGCTGGGTGTACGGCAGGGTGTCAGGGCCATGAGTGTTCGCTTGTGACTCATTCTTCTCACTTTATACATTTTGCTCTGTTTATCCTACAACTGCCTGATTCTGCTCTCCTCTGACTCATCACTTAGATTGGAAGTTTCTGGGGGTAGCATGGAGAAAAGGTAGCCCATCTCTGCAGGGTCCCAGCTACTCCCATAAGCAGCTCCATTTGGAGCACGTCTGTTCCCCAAAGCCTGGGCTTTCTCATCTGAGTCCTGGACCCCACACAGAACAGACATTTTTCCCTTTGCTAGTCCACCGTTTTCCCGCCTATCTTTCTATTCCTACACAAGGACAGGGGTCCAGGAAATGTGCTTCTAATTCATGGTCCATTTTAGACTCTGCCTCTTTTGTGGACACAGGACAAGGGTGTGGGACTATGCTGACATTCAGAATGCACAGCATGTGTCACAGTGCAACCACCCAGCAGAATCTCCTTGGAAGTCAGTTTGCATCACTTGGTTCCCTTTCCTCCCAGTAACTAAGCTGCTCCATGACCTGCTAACAAATGTTGATCAGCTTTTACACCATTGGGTGCCTACAAGCACATGAAGGTCATTTAACAAACCAATGCATGTTGTGCTCTACCACTGTACCAGGGATCGCGCAGAACTAAGTCGGAGAACCTGGACACCACCTATCACCATTGCAGGCCAAGCCTGCCTGCATCCTCTGCTTTGCTGGACCATGTGATCTGAGAGTGCAGCCTAAGGAGGTGAGCAGGATAGAGTAGGCTCAGATGCCACAGTGACTCACATCAGCGCTACTAGGAGTGCTGTCCTTATCAGTGTTCTCTGACCTTAGGGGGCCCTTGGAGACATGCAATGAGTGTAACCTGAGCCCCTAAACTCAGGCTCTACTCCTCAGCTGGAGCATGCCTATTGAGTGTATGGTGGACACTCCTCCCACAAGCTTATGCAAAGGCTTCTGTCCTTTTCCAGAGGGACACCAGCCTTGATCTCACCCTCCAGTCTCCCATATTGCTCTCTAGCCCACCCTCTCCTTGAGCCCTACTCCCTCTATTTTTAGTCTTGCCCAACTTCTTTTGGTGGGGGAGTTCTTCAAGACAGGGTTTCCCTGTGTACCCCTGGAACTCTGTAGTTCAGGCATCAGAGATCCCATTCCCTATGCCTCCCAAGAATGCCATCACCACCTGGCTTTCTCAAATTCTTAATCTCACCTATAGTGTTTTTGTTTTGTTTCTCCGAGACAGGGTTTCTTTATATAACAGCCCTGGCTGTCCTGGAACTCACTCTGTGGACCAGGCTGTCCTGGAACTCACAGAGATCAGCCGGCCTCTGACTCCCGAGTGCTGGGATTAGAGGCTTCATCTAGTTTTTTGACTGCCAAAAGCCTTCTCATCTCAACTCTACCAGTCTTGCTTTCTCTGGGGAGCCCAGGTGGGAGTGTTACACTGAATGGACACACTGGATCCTAAGGCCAAGAGAAAGCAGGCATATACCACCTCTGCCTAATGGGTGATTTTTCTTTTCAGGAATCTCTGACCAGCAGAAAACCACAATTACACTTGCCTTTACCCTGGAAGTTCACATTCAGTTAAGCATTTCTGCCACCAGCAAAGAGAAGACTTATGTTTCTAGACCAGCTGGAACATTCTGGGCCTGGTTCGACCATTCCCCACTTGTTGCAGGGGAGCACAGGGTGGTTGATGGTCCTGTCAAAGGGGCTCTAGAAGGAGGCTCTGATGATGCGGTTTCCCTGTTCAGCTCTGGATGGAGCTTGCTGTCCCGAACCACAACCACTACCCCACCCAGGGAATGGCATGGCACCCAAGAAAAACCGGACGCATCCAGGCAGTATTTGGTGTACTGAACTCAAGGGGTTTCTTTTAACTGTGGGAGACAATGAGTGACAACATCAGACACTGCATCTGTGACCAGTCAGCGCTGGCAGTGCAGTTCGTCACACATGGAAATAAATGTACGCGCATCCAGGTCAGGTCTCTGAATTGCTTGAAGCTCTGCTGCCTGCAATACAGACTGCAAGTGAATAAAGTGCATCACGACCCCATCACACAGCCAGGGCACCACGGAGGGGCAAAAGTAGCCAAGGCGGCAGGGAAAGCAGACGCTCACAGACTACTGAGGGCCAGAATGGGTCAGGAACACAAAGCCGATCCTAGCTCCTGGCTGACACTCAGGGTCCCGGGGGCCAGCCCCAAAGCCAGTGCCTCTGACCTCACAGCATAGCCCATGCCTGGGCGTGGGCAGGGAGGGCTTCCCTGGAGCGGGAGGGCTATGAAGGCCCGGCCTCAGACTCCATACTCATTTCTCCCCGTAGGTGTAGGTCAAGGTCCTCCTTCTACAGCAAGGGCAGAACACCTGTGAAGCTCCTCCTCAGCTGTGCCATCCCCAACACAAACATGTTCACACACAAGTATTTATACATACACAGACCACTCAGTGCAACCTGGCAGAAGCAAGAAAGTTATCAGTCCTGGGCTATTCCAAAGAGCAGAGATCACGTGGAAGCCACTTTTCAGCTTGTGACCTTCAGCCGAGACAGACTGACATCTTCATTTGGGTCCCTGACTCCAAAGAGAGAGTTGGGCAACTGTCCCCAGAGATGGCAGGCATACTCAAGGTTTCCGGATCAAGAATGGAATGCATGGACCTTGAGATACCAGTGCCAGAGAAGCTGGGGAGTGCGGGTTAAGTAGTAAACGTATGCCTTGGGACACCCTTCCTTGGGCATTTGGGGACTCTAGCCTATACAGGGCCTCCTGGACAGGCTGTCCTAGGCCTGTCTGGACGAGATTTCCCCATGTGATGGGGCTGCAAGTCTGGGAACAGAGAAACGGGCCACTCCATGGGTCTCTGCCAGCAGCTCGCCACCCTCCCATGAACCACCATGCCATCATGGCAGTCCACTGTCAGACAACTGCCAGGGAGCCCATTGTCAAGCACCAGAGAGTTGAGGAGGACTAGACATTTCAGGAAGTTCATGGACCTTCTCTGTTCACAAGCTGAACGATTCACCTGTCTTCTAGGAAAGGAAAGACGGATGCCCAGCCTCCGTATCCCACGGTCTCGCTTTCTCCCTCGGTGCCCTGGCAACTCTGCTCCCTCCCGACATCAGTGTCCTGTCAGGTCGGGAAGAAGCCTGCAGGGGTGGGGGATGCAGGCCCAGGGCAGGTGAGCCCCTCTCTCCTCTGGGTGTAACAAGGACAAATCCCAGGCCCTTCCTTGAGCGCCATTGAGCACTTGAGGTGGGAGAGTCCTCTCCCTCACAGTGTTGCTAGGAGACATCATACCCAGGGTACACTGGCATGGTTTGTATGGTGGGGCCAAAAGACCTGAGCCTCCCCACCCCTCTAGGCCTCTTCCAGAAAGACCCCTTCCTCTTCTTGGTGGGCTCTTCACTCAGCTGCTCCCTGGGCTGCTGCAGAAACAATGGTAGGCATCTCTACCTAGGGATCCATCTTGCAATGACCAGGGAAGGGTGAGCCATCCTTCACCTAGAAGGCCAAGGCCTGGAAACAAGAGGGAGACTTCAGTTGTCCTGCAGTGCACTCCCCACCCTCCCCCCCCTTCTGACAGCAGAGGCCTGCTCCTGTAGCCCTTCCCACTTCCCCAGACCCTGTTCACACAGCTGCCAGGCTGCTCGTGGCTGGTGGATGGGCTTCTGGGTCTTACCACTGTCATGGCAGGTGCTGCCAGGAGCCTGGGCAGACAGGGAGGATGGAGGACGCAGGCTGTGGGGGAAAGAGAGGACTGTAACCAACCGTTTCAGTTCTTTCAGGTCTGCAGATGCAGAGCCTCAGGAATGCCCCAGACCCGGTTATGGGAGCAAGAGGGAGAGCAGGAGGAGCAGGCAGAGAGGACAGTCCCCTGCCCCCTCCCCACAGTGCACGAGGCTGTCTGCAGAAGGGCGCGCAGACCTGCAGAGACTACCTTTGGGCCTCCAAGCAAAGAAGGGGCAGACTTGCCGTCCGGGTCAGAAAAGAACTCATTTTTTTTTCTGACCACCAGACACGGGACAAATCCTTACTCTTGTAGGACCTCCCTGCTGGCTCACTGCCCATTTCTCCCAGTCAGGGTTCAGGTGACATCTCAGGAAGCTCTACAAAACAAATAGGGACTTGAGGTCTGGAGGGTGGGTAGGAGGGGCTCTGTATGTGTGTGTGTTGGCGGTGAAGTGACCCTCCATGTCACCATGGCCGACCAATGCCCTATCATCTAACCACCACCAGGGAACATGGGAGGGCCTCGCCTACCTTTGCAGTTTCCCAGCGTGGCTAAGCAGCAGGTGTGTGTGTCATGGTGTATTCCCTATTCCCACAAACGAGTCCAGCCCACCACCCTCCTTTCCAACCTGTCTGCGCCTACCTTCCTGCACAGGGCCTGGTGAATCCTGCGGTAGCATCCCCTCTTTCGGGCTTCCCCCCTTTCTGCCAAGGGGAGGCAACAGGTTTGCCAGGCTCGGGTGATTCTCTGGATGCAGCGGTGGAAAAGGACGGGGCTGTGAAGGTTTTTTGCGGTATGGGATGCGGTACCTTGTGCCCCCAGAGGAGGCCTAAAACGGAGGGGCCCGGGCCGTCCCGCCTGCGCCCCCCGCCGCGGTCTCGGGGCACCGCGCGGCCACCCACGGTCCTTCATGCGGCCCTGGCGCGGGTGACACGGGTGGCGCGGACGGTGCCGAGGGCCCGCGGCGGTGGCGGGCGAAGGCTCACTCGATCCGCACCTGCAGGCGGACGTTGAGCATCACCGAGGCCACCATGTAGAAGTAGGGGAAGTTCACCCGCAGCCGCCAGGCCAGGTCGAAGAAGGTGAGCAGCGTGCGCGTGAGCCCCTTGCAGAAGGCGCCATAGGAGCCGCGCGTCGCAGCCCAACGCGAAAGTCGCATTGCCAGGCCGGATAGGGCTGCTGCCGCCGCTGCAGCTGACAGGGCCATTGTCACCGCCATCTGCCTGGTTCGCCCGCTGCAAAGCCCGCTCAGTGCGCTGCGCCGTGCTGCACGGAGCCACGCTTCCCCACGCTGTCCGCAGCCCCGCCCTCGGGCTCTTGGGTCCGGGCAGACTCCCGTGCTCCACCCACCAGGCCGCCTCGGTTGCTCTCTGCCTTGGCAGACCTGAGGCTGCTCAGCTCCGCCCTACTTGCTGCAGGCTCTGGGCAGAAGACCTCCCCCTAGTTCAGCAGGTATCCTTGTTTCATCCAGACTCCTGCTTCTGCAGAGTGGCCTCAGTGCCTGGACCAGGCTTGTTTAGCCTCAGTGCCACAACCCCACGGATGGGAACCCTCTCTCCATGAAGTTTCGCACCTCCCAAGTGCCTGTCCCACCTGTTCAGCTTGCTATTCTTACTAGAGTGCACAAATACTGAGTGGCATGATTGGTGTGCTCCTAGGATTCTTTCTTGGGGAATACTCTAGAATGGAGTGGATTGAGTACTAGCCCTTCTGGACCACTTTTGCTAATTCTATATGAAACCATATCCAGAAGTTCTCTCCTATGCACGCCAATACCCTTCTTCCATCATCTCCCAGGCCAAAGTACTCATTGCAGCTTTCATTATTCGCATAGTGCACTTAACTGTCCAACGGAGAGCCATCTAATCAGTGGTGCATACATTTTTCCTTTTCTCTTGTATCTGCTGCTTGCCCTTTCATGTTAACATCTAATCTTTATATCAATAGGTTCAACCAAATCCAACCCAAAGCCAGATCATCTCTGGCAATGCCAGGCAGTGTTCAGTCACCTCTGCAATAGTGCGGGGAAAACAGACAAGATTCCACGTTTCAGCGTGTTGCTCAGCTACTGTGTTCAGTGGGTTAGGTGCAGTTCATCTTAGAATATTTTCAATTTAAAATTGATTTATCCAGTTATAACCTCAGTGTAAATCAAAGATCATCTGTATGTATTAATATGGAGTATAGCGATTCCTCTATGTTCAATTTTTATTTTACAGTACATCCCTAGTAATTCTAGAGGCTGTGCATATCCATATAATTTTAGAATGAAATTGTGAGTACAAAAGTCATTGCTCAAAATTGTGTTAAATATACCTATTTGGGGGAACTGGTACCATTTCTATGCTGATAGTTTCAAGTCGTGAACATAATCTGTCTGCGTTTTTTTTTTCTTTTATTGAAATGTTTGGCATGTAGCTCCTTTAAATATTTGTTATAGGTACTCTAAAATACTACTTTTCTTTGAAAGCATTAGAAATGACTTTGGACTTTTGGTCTCAGCTTCAGCTTCCATATACTGTTCATTATTTCTATATAGAAATGGATCTTTGTGTGTATGTATATGTGCATGCATGTGTCTGTATTCCTGTGTGGATACACACACAAGTATAGGTGTTCATGCACTTTTGTGTATGAAGGACACACGTGGAACACTTCACTTTAGTTTTTGGACTGTCTCCTAATGGCTAAAGAGCTCTCCAAGTAGACCAGAAGGGCCCTTGAGCTCCAGGGATTTGCTTGTCTCTGCCTTCCCAAGGTCTGGGATTCAAAACATGTGCTGCCACCAGGTATGATCGCACATATCTTTGATCCCAAGCACCGTGAAGGCAGAGGCAGGCAGACCTCTGCAAGTTCGAGGCCAGCCTGGTCTACCTAACAAGTCTCAGACCAGTCAAGCCTGGCTTTTTACCTGTGTTCTAGGGATTTAACCTTTGTGCTTTACTTTGTGAGCCATCCTCCTACCCTGTAAATACACATTTCTATGCATTCATCTTGTGTCCAGTGAAGAAGTTAAACTCTTTGTTTCTAGGGATCTTTTTGTCAAGACTGTGAAACTTGGTACAAATTAGTGCAGTTATTTATTTATTTTTTGTCCTTTCCAATCTTTATATCCGTACCCTGTCTCATTGCAGTGAATAGAATTCAGTGCTGGGCTGTGTCGGGCACACGAGCTAGTCAAAGATGGCACTGAGGGGAAGTCAAGAGGGTGAGTCCTGAGTTACTTACAAAATAAAAGATGATTGCCTAGATTGAACCAGATTAGGTCACTGAATGAACAGCGCATGATCACTAGGCATGTGATAATAGACTGACCTTTAAAACCATTCACTGGCTGTTTTCCGCCCCCCCCCCCGCGTTTTTTTCCTTTAAAAGATGTTTGCTATGGGACAATAAACAAGCTCCTACTTGACTAGACTCCCTGCTGAGTCTGCCTCCAAGAATCTTGGAGGCTAAGGAATGTCCAGCCGGCAGCAAGCCTATCTTTCCTTGGACCTAGCTCAGCTTGCCATGGCTGGGCTAAGACCCCTGCAGAGCTGAATGAAGGGAGTTGGATACCCTAAAGTGTGGGTATCAGCAAATGCATTTTCTAAGCCACTGATGTTGAATATATTTAAAAAGTATTACTATATCTATATATATTTTAAAAAGTCAGTCAGTGGTGGTACACACTTTTAATTTCAAACCTCAGAGGCAGAGGCAGGTGGATCTCTGTGAATTCAAGACCAGCCTGGTCTACACAGAGAGTGCCAGGACAGGCTCCAAAGCTACACAGAAAAACATGTCTCGAAAAACCTAAAAATAAAAATATTATTATAATGTCAGGCATGCTGGTGCACATCTTTAATCCCAGCACTTGGGAGGCAGAGACAGGTAGCTCTCTGAGTGTGAAGCCAGCCTGGAACACAAAGAGAGTTCAAAGATAGCTAGGGTTACACAGAGAAACCCTGTCTGGAAAAACCAAAACAGTATTATTATAAACTTTCATATATCTAACTTTTTGATTCAGTCTCAATCTGTAGCCATATTTGTCTGGAGCTCACTATGTAGCCTGGGCTGTCCTTACATTTTTGTTACTATTGTAATTATATTTGAAATAAACAATGGTTCTTTTTTGTTGTTGTTGTTTCTGAAGCAGGTCTCTCTTTAGCTTTGGAGCCTGTCCTGGAACTCGCCCTGTAGACCAGGCTGGCCTCAAACTCACAGAGATCCATCTGCCTCTGCCTCCTGAGTGCTGGGATTAAAGGCGTGAGCTACCACTGCCAGCACCACTGCCAGGCTGAACAAAAACGTGTCTATGTATGTGCATGCTTGCAGGGGCCTGTATGTATGTGTGTGTGTGTGTGTGTGTGTGTGTGTGTGTGTGTGTGCGCGCGCACATGCAGATGCATATGCTTGCACATGCAGAGGCCAGAAGAAGTTGCCTATCTCAGCACTAGAGTTACTTATAGGTATTTGCTACATACCTGGAATATTATGTAGTCGTGGGAGCTGAACTCCATTTTTCATTATTGATGTCTTCATGATTGTACATCAGTTGTTCTTAACTGCTAAGCCAGCTCTCCAGTCCCTAGTGAAAGAATTCTTTCAAGTAGTATTGCATATGAACTACAACTTTACTTCAATTATTTTCAGTCATAGTTCTAGACTTTTCAGTCTACATAGCGCCTAAGCATGAAAATAGAAAACACCAGAAGATACATGAATTTGTGTCATGATTGTAGTTAAAAAAAAAAAAAAAAAACTTCAAACAAGCCTTAATTTTTAAAGGAGGTAAATAGAAAAAATAAGCATGGTAGTATATGCTTACTATCCTGGAACTTGGGAGGCTGAGGCAGGATGAAGCTCAACGTGACCTACATAGTGAGTTCAAGTCCATCCTGGAGCACATAGCAAGAACTTGCCTAAATATCTGCGGGTTAGATCGCTAACAAAGGTATTTATTAAGTTCTTCAAAGTAGTTTCTTTTGAGTGTTATCAATCAGCTCTTAGAGTATGATATTAGTTAACTGATATATAAATAATAAATATCTTTATCTTTCTAGATCAGCACCTTTATTATAAAACCTCCTTTCTATAATCCTATTGAGATAAAGTTTTCTACTGAGAGACTGCAAAGTTTGGTTCAATATAACCCTCCTTATACTCGGGGTCTCCCATGGACTTACTGAACAGATCAAATGATAATTACCTGAGAGAATTAAGCTTTATGTAAGTTCCTTCTGCATTTGACAGTTCTGGTGACAGTCAGGCTAATGTTTTCACCTTGAATATGGGCTGTTAGTTCCTCCAACTATGTCAGAAGTAAAGACTGGGAACCGGAAGGAAGACAAGTAGAAACGCCACAAACACTGCCTGTTTTCTCAGCTTCTCTCAACCATTTCCTGACAAACAGAAGCATTTGACTTATTTTTATTGCCCTAAAAATGCTGGTTGAAATGATTTGCCAATAGTTTTACTGATATTTTTGAGGAGAGAATTATATGTGGCTTTTACTTTGTCATTTTTAGCTTGTCAGGTTTTGATGAAAAAAATGGACATTAAAAGAATACGGTAGCGATTTTAGACATCAATCCCTCTTGTGTTTATTGTTCTTGTTGCTTAATTATTTCTTGAGTTAATTGACTAGATTATTTTATCACTGTTATTTTCCTTGTAACTTGGAGAATTTTGAGCAACAATGAGTAAATACTTTATAAAATGTTAGATCAATTTAGTAATTATATGATATTGGAAAGTATATGTATATTATATTACTATATAATTGAATATTGGATATATATGATTTTTGGAAAAGTAACATACAAGTAACATTATATAGACTAAGATTTTACACACACACAAACACTTTCTAAATTATTTTCTATTTAAATCTCAGGTCTGTCTTTTGTTGACATTATTCAGTTTGATCATTTTTTTAAAATCCACTAAGGGGACCTAGAGAGATGGCTCAGCAGTTAAGAGCACTGCTTAGTCTTCTAAAGGACGCAGGTTTGATTCCCAGCAATCACTTGGTCACTCACAACTCCAGTCCTAAGAGATCTGATGCTCTTTTCTGGACTCTGTGGGCACTGCACACATGTGGTGTACAGACATGTATGCAGGTAAAACACCCAAAAAGAAAAAAAAATCACTGGGCGTTAGTGGCAAATGCCTTTAATCCCAGCATTTGGGAGGCAGAGGCAGGTGGATCTCTGTGAGTTCGAGGCCAGCCTGGTC